TCTCCATGGTTCTGGAGCACCTCCAGGTGACCCCACCACCTCCCTGGGCAGCTGTGCCACTGCATCACTGCTCCTTCTGAGAAGAAATCCTGTGCAAATGCAAGCACCTGTGTCATGCAATCACTGCTCCTGTCTGATTCAGGTCTGTTATACTGGCACTGGGTGCTGGGGATTAGTACTTCTCTGTTAGCACTGTGAGCCCGTTTGCACACTCAAAGGTTTCCAAGACAAAGCCAGAAGTAGTACCTGGCCACCTCACAGCACAGCCAGAAACAACAGGTACGAATCACTCAGCTTATCAGTGAAGTTCATTCTAGCTCACCAAGGCAGAGGGACATGCTCCCCTCCGGGAGTCTCTGGCCTCACAGACCTGCAGGTGGTGCTTCCTCAGTGGTAGCAGAGGGCAGCCTGCAGCAAGGAATTCACACCTCCTGCTCCGAGCCTGGGCTTTAACACTTCCACTGCTGCAGCCCCAGGGGGGACGTGGGGACTTCAGCATTTACAGTGCCCCTGCATGAAAAATTATACAGCCCAACGTGGAAAAAAGTGCATAATACTTCCCCTGAGGATGGTAAGGGAAGGTGAGCACCTCCTGCATGGACACCACTGTCCCAGAACACAACCCCCAGCGTGCAAGAGGAGAGAGAAACTGTGTGTGGCTAAATGACAGGGCAGAAAATCCACAGGTTTCACTGGGGCACTCACAGCCTGTATCTACAGCTTTACCAAGTTGCCAATGCTGTTACCAACATCACTGTGCAGCATGTGACAACCTGCTGGAATCACCAGTTTCCCAGTTCAGCCCTCGGCTGCCACTGGTGTGAGCCAACAAGGCTATGGAGCTACTGGCAAGGTACGTACACTCCTTTAATACAAGGCACAAGACTCCCCATAGTCTCCATCTCCTACTTATAGTCTCAGTCTCCATCTGCTACTTCCAAGAATAACAATTGGTACAAAAGAAAATAAATTAAAAAAATCCATTAAAAATAAACGAACTCTGGGAAACTCATTCATTAAAAGTGAGATGTGCATTACAGTCCAGTTGCAAAAAGATGATAAACTCAGAATTCACCATTTCATATAAGGCATAATGACACAGCAACAGAGTTGTTCCATTACTTGTTATTGAGTTCTCATCTACACTGTTTCCCTACGTTGCTTTGCAGTAAATGCTGACCCATTATTTAGCACAGTTAGGAAAACAGAACCTGCATCAAATCAAGCACTAATCCAGGAAGGTGTCACCTGTTGCCAAACCAGAACAATTTCCAAACATCATTGCACCTGAACACAGCCCTTTTCATTAATGCTCAGACATTTGTCAAATAGGATACGAACTAAAACAAACTTACCAAGAAGCTGTATCAGGGACTTTAAACTAAGACAAAGTTTGAGTAGAGAAAGGAAACTTATCACCAATTCTTGACACACCTTGAGGTATTTCAAAACAAAAACATTAAGAATTTCATCAAATTTGAATTCTGAAATGTTTTTCACCTTACCTAGAAAAACAGAACTTCTGTTTGCAGGTGCTGCCCTGCTGTTGGAAAGCACATGTACTCCTCAAACCAACAGCTTCCTGTGACTGTTGTAGAATTGTTTTTCTAAGAAACTCTCTGATCATGAAATTAAAGCAATGAGAGTCTTTAGTTACACAACCCTCACCAAGACACACAGATACATTTTTAAAAAAGAGAGACACCCAGCCCCAAGGTGTCTCAGCATGTCCCAGCAAGGTGGCTGCAGCTGAGCTGAGGGCTCGCTGCGGTACATGAGACCCTCCAGGCTTGGCTGTGCCCTCAGCCCTGCGACAGCTTACACAAGAAAGGCTTTACATCAAGGCAGGCTTAGAAATGAAGCATTCTGGAGCAAGGTTAGGTTTCCTGGTTTGCTTCACATATTACAGCAAGGATCTGAGCACCATGACATCCAGCAACAGTGACCACATCTGGCATAAGCTACAAACAAAAATCTTTAAAACTATTCCTCAGAGTTATAAAAAATCAATAGCTATTATCAATAAACTTTAGAAAGGCTAAAATGCCTCAACAAAACAAAATAAGGCTAAAATGTCTCAATGAAAAGAACGATCTCAATTATGTAGCTCTGTAAGAACATGTACCACAGTTGGCATGAGCTCATGAAGTCAAAATAACCCAAGAAAACGTCCCTGGAGTAATACAGTGGAATCCACCTCTTCCCTTGATAAAGGATAATGAAATTCCCACTGAGATTCCACCTCACCGGCAGAGCCAAGAAGCAGAACCAGGGCACCACAGCACAATGAGGCCCTTTCTGGAAGTACTGAAAGTAACTTATCTCTTGCTGAGGGACTTACAGGGTGCAGTGCTCCTCAGAATGGAGGGAAGCGCGTGCTGCTTTAGTCTCAAGGCTCCTCACCTCCAAGAACAATTAAATTCACTGCATCTTGAAAGCAACTCAGTATCAAGAACTGCAGTAAATCCACCTTTAGATTGAACTAAAGGACTAATGTGGGCGTACAAAGACTCACCAACTCATAAAAAAGCTGAGAAACACATTAACTAGACCTCCTGGCTAGCCCTAAACGAGCACAGGCCAGAATGCAAACACGAGGCCCACAGCTTCAGTTCAATTTTGGACACCATTCCCTTTTCTTCCTAGAGACACATGATCTGAATTCCAACCCATGACTGCTTCAACAATAGCAGTCTTATTTCATCTACTATCCATTTAATTTTTATAGTAATCATGCTACTTTCACAACTTTTTAAAAGGTTTACATTATTTTCAGTTGTTCAAAGGCTATGTGTATCAAGTACTTTTGTTCTCAGCTCGATTGATTCTTTCTGAAGCCAGGAAGCCACTTCCATGCTAACTGACATGCTAAATGAACTAACAATTGCTCATTTGTCCATGTAGAAATATCAAAGGTGCCACACAAAGAGGGGAAAACTATACAGCTACTTGCAAATGCAATATACTGATGGTAAAAAATAAGAACATTTAACATGAAGCCATACACCTTTCAGTTACATTTTCCACCAGTTCTCAGTATTATTTGCAGTGATGGAAATGAGCCACTGCCTGGCTAACCTGGGGGTGTTAAGCTGTGCAGATCAATGACAGCAATAACCTGCCAGGATGAACCTTTGCTCCAAGCAAGCAGCAATGACTATCACAGGCACTGTAACCAAGTAAACAAAACTACAACAAACAAAGGCAGGATAAAGCTGGATCAAGAGCTGCACAGGTGAAAGCAACAAGGACAAAAATAAAAAGTTATTATAGTAGACCTAAGCTCTTACACAGAGCCATGTCTCTGTGAATCATCAACCGCTCGTCATTTAAAGAGCAGATGGCTGGAAGGTCCCCATATGTGAAAAATATTACCAACAAGAAGAGACCATAGTAACAGTGAAATATAACTTGATACCGTGACTTTTCTATGAATTATTCTTAATGATAACATTGATCCATGCCAGAAGCCTGAAGATTGGAGCACTCGGAGGAAAAAGAGCAGTAAGCACCAAAAAGGCTTTAGAAGTCAATAAATAATCATTAGGTATCCTCACAGAAGGAGCAGTTCTCAACCCACTTTAATAATCTAATTTTGATAATTAATTACTACTTACCAGACTGTTAATTAGCCTCAATTCTAAACAGCATTCAGCCACCTTTAAGCACCCTCATGAAAGAACTGCCAATAGCAGCTTTTATGTAACAAGAATTCGTTCCCAATCATATTGGTGACAATGACATTAAAACAATAAGAGGCAGCTCTTCCATCACTGCTCATCAGAACAGCATGGAGAGCTGCTCCCATTCTGCAAGGCAGCAACAGCAGCAGGGTGGGAGGCCACCTCTCCCCATGGCAATGCACAACGAGCCAAGAACAGACATGAACAACGTCTCTATCCTTTGCTGACAGCCCCATTTCCAACCAACAGATGCAATATACATTTCTCTCCATTAGAGGGACAGATGCCTAAAATAGCTAAACTTCACGTTTTCTTGTTACTCCTCTCAGAGCCAGCCAGCAGGAGCAATCTCCCTCTGAAATAACACGCTAGGTTTAGAGGCTATCGCATTACCACCTGATGAGCAGCTGAAATTTGACCAGCTACCTCCACAGCGCAGTATGTGAGCTTCAAAACCAGCTCTCTGCTGGCTCAAGTTTTAAGCAGGTACCACTTAGCTCCAATTTCATAATTGCACACACAAAGATCTCTAGATCATGTTAGTCTTTGTCTGGGGCAATCCCACTAGGAATCATTAGTAAGGGAACCAGAGGTTTCCACTGGGGTCTTGCACGTTCTGTAACAGCACAGCATAAAGCAAGAACTAATCCTGAATGTGAAACACGTCAGCCAAGCTCCCAAGCACCTCAGTATAAACTGAGCTGTTTTGGCCTTTTTTTCTTTCTTTATTTTTTTTTGCCCCCCAGTTTACAAACTCCTTACCCGTACTTAAGTGTACTGATATCAGGATTCATTTTACTCATTATCCTTTTTGGACACTGTATTGCAGATAGACCTCAGAGTGTTGACTTCTCATAGAAGCTAACAAGGATTTACAGTGAACAGAACAGAGTGCAGTAGGTTAGCACAGACCCACATCTCCAGGCAGGGCTTCTTAAGGGCCACACTCCACGCTGCTGCACTTTGCGGTTGCTTTTCTTGACATCAGTGATACCTGTGGGGGTTCCTCTGCTGTTTCATACAGGGCTGAACAGGCACATGTAAGGCAGCAAAAGGTGCAGTCAGGAAATTGCGTGCACATTCAGGCAGACAGGGCTCCATTCATTTTATCTTCTTGGCCTTAAACTAGAAATTAATTAAAAAATGTGTAGAAATGCAACGTAAACCCGTACACTACAAGGCTGAAAGCAAATTACACATTACCAGGCTCTGCCCTTCTGTTAGGTTTTATTTTTTTGAACAAAAAAGCCGTTAAGTTCATAAGTGGTTACAGCAACACCAAACGGTTAGAAATTCCTAGTTGATACCTCTCCTTACCTCCACTGAAATGGATGGCTGTAGCATGGGCTAGATGGATTGCTCTGGGCTTGTGAGTTCAGGTAAAATACAAGAGGAGAAGTGACAAGTGCACAGTCAGCACTAAATGGGAATTTAAGGTGCTGCAGACCCGGAGCAGATGTAGGAGAGAACGTGTGCTGATGAACATCACTTCCTCGGCAGTGGGAGTACAAAGGAGAGGAGATTCTGACAAGGTGCCACAGTAGAAAAGAAAATAAATCAGGGTCAATATCACATCTTCTGTTTATCACATCAATAAAAAGGAAGAGAAAAAAACACTTTCAAAACATGTGCTCAATCTTCTATCTACAATAACCTAAATGGTCAAAGTCAGTCAATTATTACCCAAACCAAAACGTACTTGTCAGTCAATACATAGTATCTATTCCATATTGTTTTTCCACTACAAAAATCTTCTGATCTGGAATTACCCAAGTCCTGCTTTTTTAGTGATTCCCAGGTTTTCTGGATCACACACCACTGTCCATACTTTTGACGTCAAATTTTAGCTGGGAAAAATCAACCAAGATGGCAATGGCACCAGTGACAGACATGGGCCATTTGCAGCACAGCCTTCGCAGGCTGCAATTTGGGAGCCATGGTTCTGCACCACAGCTATGGCAACAATAGAAACAGTCAACAGTGAAAACATGAATTACACAAACCATTACCTTAAGGACAACGTTTAGCACTGACAATGTTTTAAAACAGCTAATTAAGCCTGAGAGCAGCACTGCAAAATGAGTTTATTCTAATTGAGCAGTGGAGAAACTGAGGCACAGAGAGGTTACATGACTCGTTCATAGCACAGCCACAGCAGCATTAGGATTGCAGCTGAGAAGGCTGATTCCCAGCTCTGTGTCCAGTTCTGCAAACTGTACTGCAAACTGAATTATTACACCGTGCCTAGAGTTAGCAGCCAACAAGTATTCCTATAAGCAGAGAGCACAGAACATTTCATTAAGTAGCTGCTTTTCAGAAAGCTGCAAACAGGCTTCTACATTAACATGAAAAAGCTTTAAGACCTACTTTATTGAACTATACACGATGAGATGTCCTTCACTGGAAATAAAGGAAAAGTTAACTTACAAATATTGATACTATAAAGAAATCCTGGTTAATCAAAAAAAGTATTGTGAAATTCACTTAAATGATGAGAGCCTTCTGCCCAGATTCCCATAAAGTGACAAGACAACATGTTTTGAACTTTCAGTTATATGAAAAAGGCAACAATATACTGTCTTTGTTCCTGTGTTGAATCCTTACACGCCGAACGTATCAGCTGTAAGTTCAGGACAGGATGGCTGGCACCTGGTGTTAGGGCAGTGTGGAACGGCTGCTCAGCTGAACCCCTCATGGGGTTAACTGACAATAATGAAACTAAGTGTTTTAGTCTGGGAAATTTATACAACTTGCTACCTCACTTCTAACCATATTTTCTTTCATAAGCAGCGATACAAACACTTCTCATTTTTCAGTGTAGGGAATCCAAATGGAACCATCAGTCTGACCCAAAAATAAATCATCTCTGGATGGAGAATTTGGGGTTTTTTTAATCACATAACTACATGTAACTACATATAATCAAGGAAAGTTACAAAAGAACTGTTATTAAACATTTAATATCTAAACAGTGGAAGTCAGTGTTACGATTCACCTATGCTCATTACTAAAAAATGCAAGTTCTCTACTACCTACTCCACAAAACCATGCAGCCCTCCTGCACACAGGGAGCACAGCACACAGAGTACCAGCCACAGCTGCTCTCTGCTATCACTGTACGTTTGGCCTTTTCCTTTTTAAAATGTGGGCAGTGCTCGGTGCGCTCGAGCGTTAGAACAAACTGGTGCTGCCATATTGTTACAACTATCACTGTGATTGCAACTGAGGGATGAAAAAAGTTTCTATTTGCATATGTCCTTAGATATAATGCCTAGCAAGAAGGAAATCTGGGACGTGCTCCAGCTTTTGTTGGGTATTCAGACATTCTCCATGAGAAGTCCTGAAGCCGAGCACATTTGCTGTGAATGTTCAGTGTTTTTAACTCCCGAATAGTTGTTATCACTCAGCTACCGTTAGGTACAGGCAAACTTCCCCAGGAGCAATCTCTGCTTAAACAGCTGGTGGGCTCTGCAGGCTGCAGAAGGAGGTTAAGCCGCCTCCTGCTCCTCCCATCCCTGGGCAGGCTCCATTAACCCTGCTGCTTACACACACAGCACTAAATAGATGACTTCCTTCCCGTAACCCATGGGAATAATAACGTCGCTTCAATAAACTGCCATTCTCACCAGTAGATTTCAAAGTGCTTGTAAAGTACTGAAAAGGATTTGTTTTAATTTGTAGAAATAACACAAGGCAACGTCAATCATTATTTTTTTTTCCTTCAAATTTAGAAATTTTCATATGTTGCCTTAGTTTAAGAAGACAACAAAGGTAGTAAAAGTTTCTCTAGATTAGAGCCCTGTGACAGCTTTCTTTGAAGTACTTATTAGGTTTGGAAGAGTGATTTAATTAGAAAGAGAGTTCCAAACATTTAGCTTCACTACATTAATTAACACCAGGTACAAAACTTAAACACAATGCACAATGTATGTCATTTAAAAACATTTAAATACTGCTCTTTTTTCTGGCTGTACTTTATGGTAAATGCTCCATATGCTAAAGTTCTCAAAATGAAATTTTGCATATAGCCAAATAAGCAAGATGGATAAATTCTAACAACAAAAAGCAACGTTTCTTAGCACAGAATAGCCTGCCTTGTTTTCTTCACCACCTCCACTTGAAATGTTTAAGTGCAACTCATTTCTCACAGCAGCCCTTACTGGATCCGCAGCGACGGGGCTCCCAGCCTCTGCTTCCTCCGCTTCATCGTGGTGCTCTGTGGTTCTGCCCCCAACCAGAGGCTTCAAGGAGAGGAGACCCAGAGCGCAGGGCACACAGCGATCAGCGCGATCCCGAGTGCTGCGTGTGCCCCAGTGCCACACAGACCTCAGGAGTTCAGCAACAGTCCAGCTTAGTCACATGGCTCATGTCCAACATGTAATTATTAAAAATAAAAAAAAAATCTTCTATGAATCGATCGATCCAGAGAAAGGCAACAAAGCCCACTGGTTTATGGCAGGAAGGCACAGAAGAGTCAGACACACACCAACCTGAGCTGCTGGGCTGACAGCAGCAAGCCCAATTTGGCGCTCAGCAAATCACCAAACTTCTCCTGGACTGCATGGGGCAGCTCTCCCCAAATCACATGGCAGGCACGACGTGAAGGCACACTCCAAAGGGTGTTGGCACAAATCCCACATGCCAGCTTGCAGACTCACACCGCGATAGGAACAGAGTCCCCACGTGCACCCAGAGCCTTTGCAGAGTCATCCGCGGTGCAAAGAGCAGCTGTTCTCTGCCGGCGAGCAAACACGTGAACCTGTCCCATCAGAATCAACCCCCTTCAGCACGTGCACAGCTCTGTACTCAAACAGTCCCCGTGCGGCTCCGTTCAGCTGCAGCTCCCGTGGCTGCCAGCACCAGCTCAGGAGCAGCAGGGCACGGGGATGTAATGTCCTTCAGCAGGGCACAGTGCTCCCCTGCACCGCGCAAACACGCCGGCACTCCGCGTGCAGCTGGTGGCTGCTATCAGCTCTACAGCAGTGTCATGTACTGCGGAAAGCATCCATCTCCTAACGTCAACTATTCCTAAAAAGTTCTCTGTGAGAAGTCAGCTTTCCAAATAAAGCTTCCAAATATGTATCTTTGGTAGATTTTAAAGCTTTATGCCTGTTTTCTTGAAGCCCATATTTAGGCATAGGAAGCTGCTGCTGTCACAAGCTCTCATCAATCACAGCAGATCCCCAATTACAGCCCTTATCTGCAAGCGGTGGCAGGCACAGATCGCAGGCCCTGCAGTCCAGTCCCATCAGGAACACCGACCACCAGCCTGGGGTGCCAGGAGCACATCCCTTCCAGGGGGGTGGTTTTGCTTCTTTGATAAGAACAATGCTCCCAGATCACTCTTAAAGCCTCGGGTACAAGCAGCAGCATCCCACAGAACCCCGCAGGAAGGACTCAGCAGATCCCTCCCCCAAGGCCAGTCCCACGGACAGCTGAGAGCTCTGGGTTATTTTTGCAGCCCATGCCCCATGCAGAAGGATGGAGCAGGCAGTGCATGCCACCTCCCCAGCTACAAAAATATCACAGCAGGAAGCATTCAGGAAGGCACCATCCCTTACCCTGCTTCCAGACCCAAGCCAGGGCACAAACGTAGCAGAACTTCTCACCCCTTCCCAGAACTGCTCCTTTCTCCTTAGGCTTCCATTGAGGCCCAGCACAGACCCCAGCAGAAACGCCCACCCTCCAAGATGGGCAGCAACCCAATGTTGCCCTCCACTCCTCCATAGATAAAGCACTTGGGCAGAACAGGATAAAGACATCAGGCAGCATCTTGCTGCTATCAAATTTGTTATTTCCAAGGTCTAAGCATTACAGTTTAAAAGAACAGAAGTAGAGGCCAATATAAACTGGCATCTCAGAGAGGTGCCTTGGTGTGTGTAAGTGTTATTTTGTCAAGAAGCCAGGGGTAAGGTAAACTGTTATTTAATGAAATATGCTGTGAAGCTCCTAGGGCTGCAGAGGTTCATACCTTTGAGTGGGGGGGAATATTCCCTTTAAAATACACTAAAAGGAATAAAGTCCTCAGTAAGAGCCTTGCACGTTCTTTATCATACACTGTTATCTTGCTCACCATATTTCATACAGACACACAACTTTACGGTTCATACCATCTCCTGTCAGCACCTACCACCATCAAAACAGCAGTTGGTAATATCTGAATTATTCAAATCTTTTACTGTTGTCCCACCCCTCCCCATATCTAACTGTAATTAATCTTACACAACAAGGCCAGCATTTGGTCTTTGATGACACAGAAATCTCTACAGCCATCAAAATATGCTATTTTGGGGTGACAAAAAAACCTGTTTTTACTGAATATACTCTGGGTAATCATCATTTTTAATGTTTCTTATATCTCCAGGCTCATTTTCCCCCAGACATTCACTATAAAGGTACATTTGGTACAGATGTCTGACAGCAGGAAAGAATTATTACCAAAATTTGCATCTGAAATTAAAAGCTGGTGTTGCAAATTGAGTTTGCAGAGGAAATTACTCCTTTCAAATTTAGACACAATTTGGAAAAATGGTATTTTCTTTCTAATAAAACATTACCTTTAGACATTGCAAAGATTACAGCAATCCAAGCTGGTCAACTGCCCGAGAAAACATGGGGAGTTCAAACAAACTCACAAATATCATAAAAAACCTGAACATGTCAATAAAGTTTGTGTTATGAACAACTGCATTCATTAATATTGAGACAGCAAATAGGAAACTGGTTGATCCCAATGCATCTCCAGCCAGATCCAGTGACTGCTGGGCAGCCAAGGCAGCAATGTAAGCATACAGTGAACCCCCACAGCCACCCCAGCACTGTGTCACACACACAGACATGAGCGTCTGTCCTTCTAGGTCTGGAGCATCCCTGGTGCACTTCACATGCAGGTGCACATCCAAAACACCTGGGAGCTGAAAGCGGCAATACAAGAACAATCTCTAGCACCGAAAGGAGAGAACATGGTAACAACCCTGAGTAATTAAACCACTTCCACTAATAAGGAGGAGATCAAAGTTTGGGTCTATCACTTGGCATTTGCTGTTTGATATTAAAGAAAATATTCATGAATGGTAATTATTTTTGTGAACAAAATACGAGAAAAACATATCCAATACATTTACATGCATAATTTATTCAAGGAAAACTTTGAACTCTGATTATTGAGCCACACTAGAGACAGAATGCCACTACTCATACCTCTACTAATACCTGTATTATTCAACCTCTTTACAACATACAACTCAGCTGAGTGAGATTTCTTTGAGTGTATTGAACTGAACCCTCCATAGGAGGGCACAGACTTCAAGCACAATGACAACAAAATGGTATCTCAATAATTGAGCCATTTCTCTTAATGATGCCCTGCACACAACTCCACCACCCGTTTCAGGTGCCTACTCACTAAGATTGGACTGCAAGACCTCCAAGTGCAAAGCCATTACGGTGAGTTTGTGTTCTCTTCTACTGACATGGAAGAGGAGCCAATGACAGACTTCCCAGGCTCCATTCTACCTCTCTTTTAGTTCAGCTTCTATACAAGACCTTCCTTAGCTGGCAGAATTGCTTGTGCTCTCAATACTGAGACATATAATTCCACTTCTTTCCCTCAGCACAAGGAAGGGAAGCAGCAGTTGTTCATGCATACAGTCAGTTCCTGCATAAAAATAGAGTCAATAATGCAGACACAGGCAAATATGAAGCAATGAGTCAGATAAAGACTAAGTTAGAAGCGTTGTCAGAAAGGGCTCTCCCTTCTCCATTCAGCGATGACAAGTAATCTCACTATTTCAGTCTAAAACCTTTCTAACTTAACAGCCAACCAACACAATGACCTAGCAAGCACAAACTGGAGCACAGGAGGTTCTCTCTGAACATGAGGAAGCACTTCTCTGCACAGGCTGCCCAGAGAAGTTGTAGAATCTCCATCTTGGAGACCTCCAGAAGCCATCTGCACACGGGCCTGGGCACACTGCTGTAGGTACTGCTGCTGGAGCAGGGGTTGGGCCACGTGATCCCAGAGGTGCCTTCTCACCTGAGCCATTCTGCGAATAATCAAGTCTTCCTTTTACCTCTGGCTTGCTGGCAAATAATGACTAGCTGCCATGATGCGATTGTTTTACAGCAGTTAATGTACCCCAGCCTCCTGACTAGCAGAGAAAATGCTGAGTGGCTATATATTTCTATATAACACAACTGACCCTGAACTGTGACAAAGGTAGAAAATGGATGCAGCTCTTGAGGATTCCTGGCTCCGAGCCAGAGGCTCCATCCATCTGTCAATTCCTGCTTCCCTCCTGCCAACAAACAAAAGTCAATGAACAACAGCCAGTGAGTCAGGGCCTCACTGTATGTATAACCACCCCTACTTCTTAGCTACAGTACAATGCCTTTGCAGAATACATTTATTTTTGCATATGATGTTCGCTGGTAAGTTGATCCAGGTAGAAGAAAAGCCTCCAGAAGAACTGAGAAATGCCTACAGTATGTATCTCAGTGCACATTCTTAGGGCACTCCTTTTGACAGAATGATTAAGTAAATTTATAAATATAACACACATACTATATACATACACACACATTATTATTATTGCTTTTCTTGATAAAAACTTCTCTAATTCCCGATTTAAAGTGGATTTTTTTTTTTTTTTTTTAATTTTACATCAAGTAAGCACTCTGATATTGGGATATCCAAATCAGATGCCTCAGTTCCACAGTACCTTCTTCAGTGATCCCATATGCTTATCAATATGGCATCAACACAAATATACATAAGTCATAATGCACCACTGAGTTCTTAAACACTTACACTTCTTAAGGAAAGAAAAGTCATCTGGTAGAACTGACAACAAAATCTGTAATTCCAGAAAATACAAGTAATCAACTACGTAACAAATGCAACTAATTGAACACATTTCAATTCCTCCCAGGCTTCACAGTCTCACCAGTAGCTGCGAGTTTTTGCTTTAAATTTATTACCTGGGTCGTCTTGACATAGATTGCTATGATGGCAGAAAACTACCATCAAGTAATAAAAGCTGAAGGTGTTAAATCAGTGTAGAAATAAAACGGTCATTGTTTAGTCACAATCAAACAAAACGTTATACACTTGAAGGATTTCATTTGTATCTCAAGTATTTCAAATGTAAATGTATGAATAGTTCTGTGCCATGCCCATCTCCACACTTGAAGGAAGGGAAAATCTCTGGCATCCTCAATTGCAACTTCACATTTTTTGTTACAAAAATAATGTTGTGTTAAACAAACAAACACAAACCCTATTGGTAATTCTTTGTTCCACCAAATGTAAAAAGAACCTTCACTATCTCCGACTCATCAGCACCACCATTCCTACACATACAACAAATGTAGTCAAGCTTGCTTTCAAGGAATGCTGGCAAAAAAGTACAAATACAAACATTTTCACATTCTTATTTTCATGACTCATTGAGCGTTTGATTGCTGTCATGTGAACTAAATAAAAAGTTTTGATCATACCCCATTAAAAAAAAAAAAAAAGCCTTTTGATTCACTGCATTGTTCAGGACATTGTTCAGTGGCCTACACAGCATTTTCCAAATGCCACCTCTTATACAAAGGAGAGAGCTTGCATTAAATGGTTGAAAGTTATTTCTCAGAAAAACCTGAGGAAGAAAGGTTATGTGCTTCTGTGAGCTTCATGTCTGTGGCATACAAGCTTTGGGAAGCCATTTCAAATCACGTTCAGATCACATGCTTTCCCTTTCATACAATGCAATCAACAGTGCCATCTCTTCCAGCGCAAATCTGTAAGCACAGCAGAAGCTACATTCTCTTACTGTAACTGTTAATTTGCTAAGATTTTTTAAACATCACAATACTAGAAGTCTGCTACTTGTTTAAACTTAATTTTGGAAGCCTGCTTATCGCAACACCTGCTGCTTGGTTGGAATATCTCTGTGACACAGAATGCTCTGCGTGGTCCAGGATCCGTGCACAGAAGTTTCTGCCAGCGCAGACTGAAGAGCAGTCATCAAAGCAGTCCATAGCACATCAATAACCAGAGATGGCGGCCGAATCGTTCTGGGGATGTCACAGCAAGTAACACTCAGCACTGCCGCTCCTTCCATGGGAGGATCAGCTGCAGCTGATAATTAGCAGTAAGCCTATGCTACTGCTAACTTTCCTACTACATGTAAGGAAATGAATAGAGGTTCAACCTCAGAGAAATGCAAGCTGGCTGCTTCCAAGTGCCCAACAGATTCTTGAAAGCACCGACAGAGAAAACAGGAGAGCTGCCTATTTATATGGCTTCCACAACTGAACTGCTATGCACGTTCAAATCAAACCACATAATGAATAAAGAATAGTTCTACTTACAAGCTTCCTCTTCGGGGGAGACTGAGCTCCTTCTGGAAAACAAACAGAATTAAAAAGCAGAGTTAATTTCACTTGTTTCTGTATTCCTCACTTATTTCGCAGCAGCAGCAGAGCAGCCCCTTAGGGCTGGGGCCGCCAGGTGGCAGCAGCCAGCCGAGCTCTGGGGAGCACTGCAGCTGCTGGAGCTAAAAAGTATAAACACAAATACATTTATTATTTTCAAGTATGAGTTCTCTAAAGTTTGGAATTTCATTATGGCTTCACAGCACTGAGCAGATTTCACGTGCGAATTCTCACAAAGCTGACAGCTCCCAGCATCGAGGAATAAATTCCTGCCATCAGACAAACTTGTCAAGATCTAATCAAAACATTTCAAGTGTGTAAGATAATAAATCCTGAGCATCTATAACAGGTTGTGTGTTTTATATTCTAAAAAGGTATTTCGTCTACTCTCATTTATTTGGAAGAATTAAAAGCTTCCAACTGTGAAGTCTGCATATCAATGAGTGCTCTTTGCCAATGCAAGTGGGTAAGTAGATAGGGTGTAATTATCATATACCTCACACTGTTCCACGTTTGTGTGTAATATATATACACATACACACACACACACACACACAGGTTGCCCAGAGAAGCGGTGGATGCCCCATCCCTGGAGACACCCAGGGTGAAATCGGACAGGGCTCTGAGCACCTGATGGAGCTGTGGGTGTCCCTGTTCATTGCAGGGGAGTTGGACTGGATGAGCCTCACCCTTTCAAATGAAATGATTCTATGATTCTGTGTGTAATGCATCTCTCACACCATGTGAGTGATCTATGTACAACTGATTAACCCACTGTACAGCAGATCCAACAGAACAAAGGTGCCTCCTCCACCTAAATGATGATCCACTTCTCCCAAAACCATCCATCCCAGAATTGGCCCTCACAGACATATGAAGCACTGACATGTCATGGCACTGGCTGGAAAAGGAAAGCAGTGGTCTTTAGATCTCTTCATCTATCTTCTCATTTTTAAGATGTGAGGCTCACATGTCGCTTTGCTCCAGGCACAAGGGCTGCAGAAGAGCTCTAACACTTCTTGTCATTGAGATTCTGCCAAAAACTACTGCAGGAATCATGATCCAGTAATAGGAGCAGCCAAACCTTTTCCTTTCCTCTGCTGGACACTTGTTTTACTCACATGATGAAAGCCTTAATGCTTCCTACACTGTAGCTATTTCAGGATCAAACACACCCAAGGTTAAAAGAAGGATTTGAGCATTGTTCATGAAATCATCTTTTGAAATCTGTCATCAACTGGGTTTCCAAATAAAGAAGAAAACATGCAAGCAGATAACATCTCAATGCAGCTGAACTGTTGCCCTGTCCATGCAGTGATCCTTTTCAGCCCTGACAAGCACCACGTGGCTGTAGGATCAATAGGCTCGCAGTTAACCCAGCAGTGCTATGGCCACTGGAGATAGCAGTGAGCAGCAGAACCAGGAGCTCTGCCTCTTTGGAGTCACCTAAAGAAGTTCCATCTCAGAGAAAAAGGCAACATGCAATTGCTGGGGATGGAAGCAAGGAGGGAGCAGGCAGCAGACAGAATTGATGCCCATCTCAGGACACTCCCATGGAAAGCTGCAGAGCTCCAAGGGACACAGTGCCAGCAACTACCTGAGTGGAGATGTGGTCACAGGGCAGACGCTCAGCTGGAGTTTATGCTGGCTTAGGAATTTTGCAGTGGGACCCATTGAGGGTGGATCCTACAAATGATGGGATAATCTCAAACACGCAGCAGCACTACAAAAATGCTGATTAAATTACTATGTGAAACATAACTGAGAAGTCCAACAGCATTTCGCAAATACCCTCTGAAAGTGAAAACTGCTCAGAATCAGTTCTATTGTGCAGATTAAATGTTTCAGATACTAAAAGATGAGGGAGGTGTGATTTGACTGGCTCCCACCCACTCTACAGCTGAGCATGCCATTACACATCCACCCAGCCTTTCAAAATAAATCACATTTAAAGAGCTAAGATAACTCCTAGAAGAGCGCTCAGCTGCAACTGCTTGGTCTGAAGCACTATTTACAGGGTGCAGCTGTAACCCTTCATGCAGAAGTGCTATTTTCACATTGACCACCTTTCCAACAAGGGCAACCCATGAATGCTTGGGATTTCGGATGGCCTCTCCCAAAGGCACACCTGTCTTCCCAGCACTTCTGCTGCCCGTACCTGCAGACACCACCACCACCCCACAGCCATCCTCCCTGCCATCCACTCTGTAGGATAACAGCACAACCCCCACACAGAGCCCTACGTTTTATAGTTGGTTTACACTAAATGTTGCATATTTTAAATGACTGCTGCACATTATTCACGAGGAAATTCTCGAAGTGGAAACAATGAACCTCTTTCACAGATCCTACGTCACAAAAAAATATGAAGCAAATTAAACCCTGCAGTACACAAATGGCAGCAACAGACTGCTCTGAAAGTTAATCTTTTGTATCAGATCCATGTTGCAAGGCACAGTTATTAAACACGCAGCCTGAGCTCATGACAAAAGCTGCAGCAGGTTTGCAGACAAGAAGTGAAAAATGAATTTTGGGTAAGAAATACGGCATCATAGCACTTATCAAAGCTGGTTCTGAGCCCCTTCTTCAAAGCAGTGCCTTGTATTTGTTTCCCTCTATCTTATCATCTCAAATAATGCAGATATGAAATCATGCCCTAATAACACATTACAGTTCTGATCTCACAACATAACCAGGTCCTCACTGGCCCCATCATTATTCATGAAGTCAAAACAGAAAACACATTGGTCATTATAAGCATAATTTTTGGTTTACATAGCATATGGTTTTCTACATAAATACTGAAAACGTATTCTATAGTGATCTCTCATATACAGAAATTGCCATAAAACACAATTGTTTCACAGAACAGAAAGAGTGCTATCTTTCTGCATGCATATATGCACACTACATGGAATGGAAATAAAATCTATTTGTTCACTGACCTACACGACAACCCACATCTTTTAAACTGATACGTTATGTTCTAAAAGTGTGAAGAGAACAGGAGCCCATCACTCACAATTGTCACTTGATCTCAATCCCATAATTTGCCCTTGAATACGGAGCTGCACATATGGCACAGACCCACAGGCAAAGTTGGATGCTGGATCTGCACTGATGGCAGTTGAAATGCAGCCCTTTCAAACTAGAGGGAGAACCACGGCTGCCTTCAGGATGCCTCACACTTTTGCCAGAGCAGCCAGTGTGATTCCTGAGATTGCCTGTGACCTTGGCTTCCTGCATGGCAGCTCACTATCACACCAGCTGGGACAATAGACAAATATTTTTACAGCTATAGCAGTAAATACATTTCAGTTAATAAGTTAATATTTCACAGATGATGAAATTCCACTGACACTCATTGACCTAGTACCGTGCACTCATGTTTTAATTTTTTTGCTTTGCTGAATACGTTTGCTTTAGGGTATCCACCGACCAGCAGGGGATTAATTAAATCTCTTTCTATACATAACCATTTGCATTACAGAAATGATATAATGAGGGTCAGAATCTCCAGTTCTGATGGAAAATACAACCTGGCCAGGCAAGGACAAACTGTAATCCATCCATCAGATTAACAGAAAAGAATTTTTCATGGTGATTAAGAAAAAAAAACACAGCCCACACTAAGCTCCTCTTTTTCCTATCAGAATCTGTCAAGAAAAATAATTTCCTTCTTTTCACCATATCACTGTAAATGGTTATTAAAACAATACTTCTCAATTTCAGGTAATGATTACATCTGAAATTGTTTGCCAAACTCATCAGCAAAGAATTTTAAACAGCAACACAAACCATATCTGTAGTGAATCCCAGATAAGCCTATGGAATATACTGCAGGTGCTATTTTATATCATATACTGTCTTTTTAGAAACCCAATTCAGAATCATATGGTTACATCATCTGCTTAACTACAGTGACGCTTAAAATACAGAAAACAAATACCCAAACACTTTCTGCTGTCATTCAAAACACAGGGAGGACACTGAGCTTCATTTCCAGACCTTACTGAGCACCGTACTGAATTTATACCTGCGATCAGTCGCACACATGCTGAGCTGCCAAACCCAGTGGTACTCCTGTTCCCCAAAGCACCCTCCCTAGGAACTCTCACCTTCATGGCTGCGGGTGTCAGATCCTTCAGGACCACGTGCATGGCACTACGATGGTTTGCAGTACACCTGTTCAGCTGGTGCTATCCTAAATAACCCTACGCACCCAGAGCAAACAAAACTATTTATTTGGATAATCCCCGCCTCAGCAGAAGTTGTCTGTCTGTAGAAACATCATTTGCAAAGTATACTAATGTATAAAAGCAACGGTGGGGAAAAAGAAAAAAAAAAAAAGACAGCTGTTGGGCTGACAGATGACCCCATTTCTCTAAATAAAGAGTTTATATCAGTCTTGAAACCAGTGGGTCAAGAATCAGCCAATGATGCATTTAATGTTTCTAGCATCCTCTGGCCTTTTTGTACTCTTCTGCAAAAAAAAAAAAAAAAAAAAAAAAAAGAGAAGCCTCGGGTTTATTTCAAATAACGGCAAAGAAGAAAATAAAGCCAAAAGCCTTTTCAATTTTAAACAAAATTCTCAATCACAGCCAATTATTTCCTTGTCCCCCCATGAGCCCTTCTGCCTGAGCAACACAAAGTTCCCCCTTTGTAAGCAAAATGAAGGATCTGGGCCACATCTGCACATTAACCTCTTAACAATATATGGCTCTGGAAGTTGCCCACTAACCTTTTGTACCACTTAACCTCTGGGCTCGTCATAAGGCTAAGGCTACTGGTGACTTGACCTAAAGTAATTACAGAATACATCTCAAAACCGATGAGAATTCCCACTTTTCACATAATATTCTGAGTAGGCTCTACTTCCATAGCTGTGCATATCATATAGATAGATGGATAAGACTTTAGAAGTATTCATATATATATGTGTGTATGTCTATGTGTATGTACAGATAGA